CCTGCAGTCTGAAATGACCCCTGTGCAAGTAGTTCTTTTAAGAATTAATATTTATGTCTGTGTGGATGTTCTTTCTGAAATGCTTTTTATGAGTGTCTGTCAGAATGTTGCAGCTTTTTCAGGAATGGCCTTTATTCACGCACCTTACAATTTTTTATCATGCTGTTTCTGATCCTGAGAAAAACTGGGGAGCAAAGTATGTGACATAGCTTATGCTATTGGTTGTAAGGCATTTGCTTTGATATCCAGGATGAATGTGTAACAGGGTGACCAAACCTGACTTTCAACTTCAGTGCAACAATTGAAATATGTTTCATTTTCCTAAATGGTGCTTGAAATACAAATTCTGTTTACATATAAATTATATGGAAATATGTTGTAGATAGAGTATGTAAGCTGTAGTCCACTTAATGCATTAACAGTTAGCACATGCATTCTAAGAATCTTTTGAAGATAAGCCCAAATTTCTTTATCAAAATATTCTAAAGTTATATCGTTGTACAATAGTAACATTTAATTAAAATTAGTGTGAAACAAATGGTAGCTAGATGGAAATACACATTCAGCATCAAGTAGTACTGTACGTGAAAGGGCTCTTACCTCTCAGTAAAGATTTGTTTACAGCTATGTTTTCTTGATAGCTTAGGATATTATTATATTATACATAATTGGGCTAAATTCTGTTTTCCTTACCTGTGTGCTGAGTTTCCACCAATGTCGCCAGAACTACTGGTAGGTGTAAGACTATGGATTTTGACATGAGACAGCACTACTTTTTAAAAACTGATTTTAAATTCTGTCTTCTTAAAATAATCCAGTCATGCACATTATCATTAATATCTGTACTGTCTCAAATTCATACAGCTAAACAATGGCTTTAGAAGTCCATGTGTGCATATGCCATTTTGAAATCCTACATTTTTCAGGATGTAAATTTCTGCTTTCAGTTTAAAATTTATATCGAACTGAAAACAGGAAAGGAATCTCTAAAGCACTGAATTATTTCTTTGCTCATCCGTAAATTATTCACAGCTTTAATTTCCCTTCTTCTGTTGTGCCATAAACTGATTGTGAAATAAGACTCATTTTTATAAATAGGTATAGGCTGGCAATTTGATACCAGTACTTGGAACTCGGACCTTTTATTCTCTATTATAAAAGTATAGTAAAAATGTAATATTTCTATAGCTATATAGTGTAGCAGCCCTATATTAAAAAAAAAAAAATCTAAGCCCCCTTGAATTGTATTAACTGTAACCTGTGACAATTACATGTTTTTATAATCACTGAAGCATGGAGTTTGCATTTGAACTTTCATGTCACTTCCTAAGTTACTTCACCCAAGTGTTTTAATATGTAAGGAACACAAAGTAACAGTGCCTGAAAAGCACAACTGTGTCAATCGTTACAGGGCTAACCGTATTCCTTTCTGTGTAGAAACATTGTCACTCTACAAATACCAATTTGATTTTCAGAGGAATGTCAAGTTTAATGAAGTAGGCGTATCTGCCTAGTCAAGCAGTTAAGAGGTAGCAATTTAAGCTAGGTATGTTAATTGCACCAAAGGAAAAGACTAATACTACTTGCTGACAGTTCGTATTTTATAACCCAGACCTAAAGTTCAAAATGTGTGGACTTGCCAAGGAGCTGTCAATAAAAGGCCGATCTCATTTTTTTGGTGTGCATTCTTTCAGTGATAAACAGTTCTCAGTGTGGCTGAACTATGCTCATAAGGTGTTTACTAATTTAGCGCCTATTCCTGGTGTTATCTGTTGTGTCAAGCTGAAGGGTTTTTTTCCTGTGTTGTAGCTTTAGGCCAAAGTCCATTGTAAAGGAGCAGAATTTTTTTTTATTACAATATGGTATTTGAGGGAATTTCAGACTTCATTCATCCAACAGATTTTTACCATCTTCCTCTCAGTGAATGGTCCATGTGATGTAATTTGTGTTTTTCTGCCTATAGAAATCAAAGGGGTAGGGGGAATGAGTGATACTCATATTAAATATCTTCCAAAATTAGTTCTGTAAGTATAATTCAGTAAACTGCTTTCATGGTCTTGCAGTGAGGGCAGGAGGAAAAAGTGTTGTAATGCAGCTATGCTTGAATGCAAGTCTTGTTAGGCACAGCAGGTATAAATATGAGCTATTTAAATGCTCACGTTTTTCTGGGCTTGAAACTAATCTGATACAATACTGGCTTACTCTCCAACATTTGGGCCCCTTGTGCCCTTCAAACGGCTTCAGCCAGTTTAAATGTAATTTTCAGCTAAGGCACTCTTATTTTTTTTCATACTTAATTACTTTGCAGACTACTTAAAAATAACCAATACAAAGTTAAATCTCCAGTGTGTTTTAATGTTGGACTATTGCTTCTGTTAAAAATCTGCAAAATGGTGGGGAGTTTAAAATGGCTTCTGCACATGTCTAGTTAACAATTCTATTTCTGTATCTCAGACAAATACTGTCATTTGCAAGCTGCTTTGTTTTATTACAAAACTGACAATTGGGCTTTTAAAAATGAAGAAGAATGTGTTACCGTTCTAAAATGTCTGTGAAAAAATTCTAGAATTTAGTTATTGGTTTAAGTAGTGATGAAAACATACAAATGGTGGCCTTTTTACTGAGAAATATTATGGGGAATAGGATTGGAGAAATTGGAAAACTTCCAAAGAAGAAGTATTGTACGTTTCATGTTACCAGCACATACTTTTAAAGGAGTTGAGAAGAGAATCCAAGGAAAAGAAAAATTGGAGACTCTTTTTTAGGGGCTTAGATATAAAATTATGTTGCTCACTTAGTAAGCCATTACTGTCTTGCATAAAACAAACTTCTGGGAAATCTTCATGGTTACTCACAAATAATTTTAAAAAAGAAAAAAAGTCTAACAGATATATACCCATTTCCCCACATACGCATAATCAGTTGTTCAGGTAAGAACAATACTTAACACATTTGAACTGGCCTGGTCCAAATATTCAATTCTTTAGTTTCAAATTGGTAGCTTCTCTGTGTTGTATCCAGGTTTGCATCTTGAAAGCATGAGCTGTTTTGCAATAAACTTTTTTTAACCTGCATACACACATTTTGCCTTATTTGCATTTTGGATATGGAGGGAATGCCATTTAATTGAACCTGCCATAGTCACCTCCTTCCCCAATTACCGTTCTTCAGAATGTTGAAGTACGTGTGACTTTTCAACTGCTTTTACAAGATCAAAATGTTTTTACTTTATTTTCTTTCTTAAGAAAAGCAAATAATTGTTACTATGCTTAGATATTATTTTCTTTTTTAACCTCCACCCCAGTATAGCCATTGTGTGAATTCAGGAGGGGAAACTTATAAAAGGCTTTGAACAGAAAGGGATGTAATATTTAAATGGCACTGTGCAAAAAAAAAAAAAGAGAGAAAAACCTTGATATTGTCTTTAAAGCATGCAAGCATTGATAAAATTTTATTTTTTGCTACATGAAACCCCATGTGTATAAAACAGTGTAGAGTTAGGATTTTGTAAGGGAATTTTTTTTTTCATCTCTTGCCTAATAGTTGTGTATTTTAGAAATAATTTTCAGTAATAGATTTTTTTTTTTTTTTGTCTTGAGACTCTGCTTTCAGTATCATGTCTTTGGCTCTGGATTCCTATACAATTTTTGTCTCTATTTTGTGTATATAAAGCATATAATACTGAAAAGATGAGAGAAAAAAAAAAAAAAAAAAAAAAAGGAAAGCTGAAATGCTTTGTCATTGTTTTGACTGGAAAATGGCAGTGCTGTTTGATATTTTGAAAATGCTCTCCAAATAGGCACGGATATATATGGTTGTATTTGATATCACTTTTTTAAATAAATATGATTATAGCTTCTAATGTTTCTCTCTTGACCCAAGTATTTGCATATGTGCTTTCCCTTATATATGGATTGGGTACAGAATCATCAAACATTGAAATCTCGTCTTTAATATCAATGGGCTTTGCACCAGATGTTGTGTACATACATTAGCAGTGGGGTAATTTTCTGTTGCTCATAACTGACATTTCATCATCTCTGATGTCTTTTCATCTGTTGATACTCCAAAGTTTATGTAAAGACACTCCTGTTAGGAAGAAAGTTGGTGCT